TGTAGGAACAATTTAGTCAAATGCTTCCACAATGAACATGCATATGCAGAAATGTCTTATAATTACTTACAGCTAAGGTAATGTGCATCAATGGATCACTTTGTGCCTGCTTGTGCACATAAATCTAATCTGATCAAAATTTGCAGTTGAAGGTTTGTCCAATGTTTCTTCCCTGACGAGTGAAGAAATCCCATCAACAAAGGCCTTTGGTTTCCAGTAAATTGTTTTGGGAGAAATGGTTCATTAAAATTTGAATAGGTGGTTACAGCAGCGTTTCCTGAATCTGCAGTGCTGCAGCACAAATATTTATATTTTAGCAGAGTTGTGAATGTGCAATGTGAGAGAAAACACTGAAAATAAATATGGTGAACATATCTTAATGTGGTGTTCTCGCTGACTGCTCAAAAATAAACATAATGTGCAATGTGTTGTCTGCAACCAAATGGTGGATTTTTCTAATGAATCATTTGAATCAATTGATTTGGATCAGATGACACACTCATTCACCGAACCTCAATTTAATCACGTTTTATGATCCCATCACACAGCTTTTAAGATGTAATTTCATTCAGCTTGCCCATTAAACCATAAACACTTTTTTATAGGCATATAATTGTTCCTTAAAGCCTGATTGATTTTCTTTACTTCGCTAAATTTGATCGCATCAGCGTTTCCATCAAAATCTGCTTTGATCCGCAAAAAGAATGGAGTAATGGTGCATGCTTAAATAAAGGTTGTATGATTATTACCAGCATATATTAAAATACCTTTAATTGATGGTTAACTTCATTTCTTAAATGCATGTGATGAAAGTTTACATGCACACACATAAATGACCATTTTTTTCATATAAAATGTTTATTTGCACCCCTTCATTACTTGTCGGTATATAATAGAGAGTAACAAAATCCAAATATGCAACCCATTTAGTACTTTTTTTTCTTAAAAAAACCAAACAAATGCTAAGGCATGTCTGCTTGCACGACATAAACGTTGCATTAAAACTTCACGTATGGTAGCTCAAAGCAGCGTGCTTCAGTAGGAACAACGTTCACTTTCAGACAACAATCTTCTCAAAGTCTTTTAAACATATATTTGACATGGCTTGTACTTGTTTTTTTCTTGTTTTGTCACTCATATGAAGATCTAAATTTCAAAGTGCAATGTGGAAAAAGAAAATAAACTCTGAGTTAATTTACTCAGAGTGTTTGGATCTGGTTTGTATCCATCAAACACATTCAAATATGAAAATTAAAAACCATTTGTCCATTTGACAGATGGACATCTTAGTCTTTGCATCCTCCGAGACCATTAAAATATGCGATACTGTTGAATCGATATCATCTCCACACGAAAGAGGAAAGCCAAATACATTCAGACCACAAGTAGAAACACGCAAGCTATTTGGAAAAGTTTTACATGACATGCTTCATCTTCAGTTTCTGACAGGAGCGCACAAGAACGGAGGGCAATGGAAAATAAAATAAAATAAAAAAGTCTGTTTTTGCGCTAATGTGCCCCTTTGTGATCTGAATAGCGACCAGTCCTTTTGGGACCCTCGACCACTTTTGAGACTTTCAATTTTGTCTTCCTTGCATTCACATCTAACACTTAAAATCAACATAAAATGACATTTTACTTCTGTAATTTTCATTTTCAAGGAGGGAAAAAAATATTTAAAAAATGTATGTTTCATTTAGCCCTCATGTTGTGTTCCCATCATTTTTTGATCATTGATCTGAGCTTATGCACCACAGTTTTTATGCAAACGTTGCCAAATTAATATGCTTTTTTCTTACGTTACAGTTTTTAATTTGTACTTGAATGTTTACATCTATTTGAAAATGTTCCCATCAGTTTAGCTTAGTTTTCATTAATGTTCATTTAGTTTTAACTTTTTTGGTGTTTTTTAAATTTTGTTTTAGTATTTTTGGGCTGCCAAAGTTAATTAATTAACTATCATTATGTCTAATGAGTTGTAAATGTTGTAATGCATTGTGTATTTTAAAGGGTTTTAAAGGTTGATCAAATGTAGAAAAATCTGACACTACATAAAAATATGACTTTTAGGCGAAATATAAAATATAATTTGATATTATATTATAATTTTAAAACAATTTTTAAAAATAAAAAAATCTAAACTGTATTAATAATAATTACAAAAAATAAAATAATAATAATAATAATAATAATAATAATAATAATATATATATATATATATATATATATATATATATATTTATAAAATTATGTTGCTTGAGTAAAATGCTTATGAGCTTATGCACCTCAGATTTTAAATGAAAAAAGCATTTCTGGATAATTTTGAGATGCATAAGCTCAGATCAATGAGGTCTATGATTAATCAGTTCCAAAAAGAAATACAAAACCTGTGCTAATTGAAAGAAAACAAGTTGATAAAAAGATTGAATCCAAGATTTGGTGATAATATAGCAGAATGACAGATTTACACACAATTTTAAAAAAGGCTGGTCATTTTTGACTGGGAACACCGAATTAGGTAAAAGATTTTCAGCACAACACAAGGGCTAGGAACATGTTATAGAGCAAACAGGGTTCAGAATCTGACTTCATGTTGACTTTAAGACACGGCCGCATGTTCGACCTTTCCTCAACGTGCCCTCTCTTTTGGCTCACTGAATTTCTCATCTTCCAAAACCCACCAAGGTACTTTTTGAGCCTTTTTGGGAAAACAAAAGTACCCAGGCATGAGCAAAAAGCACATAGTCTTCTGCTGTCTATCCTCCCTTCAAAACCAGACGCCACGGAGCATCACCAGACTCTCTCTCTTACTTCCATATTTCTTTTTTTTTTAAAGCTGTTTGTGTGTCTATATTCCACACGCCACCCGTCCTCACTGATGCTTCATTTCAACCTTCACGCGTCTATGAGAAGAGGACATTAGAGGATATTTTAGCAACTTTGCATTTCAATGATAAAAAAGAGTGTTTAAGCAGGCGGCTTTGAACATAAAGTACAGCTTTACAGCTCTGGATGAATGCACAGCGTCCTTCCATAAACGACAAGTTGTTTGGAGAGGCTGTCATAAAACTATACTTTAACACATGCCACCATTCATAACGGGAGGTCTGAGCCATTAAACTGGTAATTCTGTCAGTTTGTTCAATGTATAAATCGGATTTGAATTGCACTGGATTGGGAATATTCATAATTACAGATACAAATCAAATCAAGAAAGTGTCCTTGTAACATTCATAGTGACTTAAACTTACTGGGCCTCATTCGTGAAACATGTGCATAACAGATTTATGTGTAAATATTTCATAAAAATATATTATTATGCATTTTGAATTAAAGGAATAGTTCACCAAAAATGAAAATTAGCTTTTAAAAATGTACTCACCCTCAGGTCATCCAAGAAATTTAGATTTGGAGAACTTTAGGAATTCCATCACTTGCTCAACAATGGATCATCTGCAGTGAATGGGTGCCGTCAGAAGGAGAGTCCAAACAGCTGATAAAAACATCACAATCCACTAGTAATCCACACGACTCCAGACCAACAATTAACATCTAATGAAGCCAAAGGCTGCGCGTTTGAAACAAATTCATCATTAAGACTATTGTATTGAACTACTGTGATGTTTTTTATCAGCTGTTTGGACTCTCATTCTGACGGCACCCATTCGCTGCAGAGGATCCACTGGTGAGCGAGTGATGTAATGCTACATTTCCCCAAATCTGTTCAAAATGCACATTCAAAGAATAATTTTGTATATCTCATTATATAAAATAGATGTATTTATATATTGTTTATTTGATCATATTTACATGCAAATTTAATCTGCTATAGTTTCATGAATGAGGCCTGTTGATTCACAAAAAATAATTGTACAAATGTACATATAAATGTTTATACATGAAAAGCTGATATGGTGAGCTACATATAATGGCAGAAAATAAAAAAATGTTGATAAGTAAATGAGGGTTGTGCATACATAATTGATTACAATGACGAGTATATAAATGAGCGTCAGGATCATGACTCAGTCGGGTTTAACACTGGCTTTCAAAGACTTTTTGATAGAGAAACTATCCCAAATCACAATTACATATGGAGCAAAGGAAAACATCTCAGTAAGAAATTTCAGACTAAAGGCCCGTTCACACCAAGTACGATAACTATAAAGATAACGATAAAGATATAGTTCTAAAAATCGTTCTCCATATTAAAGAATAGCAGAGTCCACACCACAACTATAACGATAAAGACAAAGAGAAACTATATTGTTGGAATCACTTTCAAAATGATTTTGCTCCAGCTGATGAACGATAAAATATTGACAGCCAATCAGAATCCATCCTGCTGTAATGAGCTCGAGAATTTAAAGCGGCAGACACATGTGCGCTTAGAATAAACAGACGATATTGTTCGCTGGTGTGGACGCTAATATCGTTATCTTTATAGTTATCGTTATCGGTGTGAATGGGGCTTAAGGCAATTTTATAAGTCTGAATCCAGATTGAAAAGCAAATATTTGTAAAATAAATGAACGAGTTTGCACTGAAAAGAGCAACATTTTGTTAGATTTTGTTAGATACGCGCTTTTGAATAAAAGTTGCTAACTGGTAAAGCCAAAATATATAATTATATTAGAAATATAAATAAATCTTTCTCTGTAAGAAAACATTTTATAACTAAAACCTTTATATATTAAGATAAGGATCATTTATTTTGAATTAAGCAGGAGCAGCCCTCTGTAAAACTCGACCTTCACGCTCACCTAAAACCATCTAAAGTCTTTAAAAATTACCTTAAATTTCCATTAGCCTAGCAAAAAAAAATAAATAAAAAAAAATTATGAAATGAAACAAACGAAAAAAGAGTAAAAGCATTACAATAGTGTGAAAATCACGGTTACTCAAAAAACATTTACTCGTGACCTTCCCATGCATTCTCACAGTGGTACATAAACAAGTTGATTTATATAGTTTTTGTTGTTTCTTTTTTCTTTATAACGTCTGTTTTTTTTATCGCACAATGATTCGGGAGGGGTGAAACTTTAAGAAAAAACAAACAAACAAAAACAACAACAACAACAAAAAAAAACACCAGAGCGTATTTTGGCGTCTCATTTATGCAGTATAAAAGGAAAGCAAAAATATAGATTTTCATATTTCCCCATTCTCTTCCGAAAACGCAAAGCGATCCCATTGCATGGCGACCACTTTTCATCCGAAAAGTTAGTTTTTCTCTTAAATTCATTTAGAAATAAGAGCAGTTGGCCAAAAGAGAAGCTGCTTCTGATTGCACCAAGCATTCTTTGGAACAAGCAGGATGCAAAGGTTTGCGCTCGCTTGTCCTTCTCCTCATGCCTAGCTAGTTAGCTTGCTCTCCGTTTTCATGGGTTATTTCTTGATATTTTTTATTACCATTTTTTTTTTTTTTGGAAAATGTCCAGTCCAGTTATGGAAAGGCTAACAGCGCAAGCGATGCTGCGTCTGTCTTAAACGTCCTGTGGCTGCGTGCCGCCTACTGCCATTATCTCAACCACAGCAGCAGCCATGTGAGGGCCGTTACTGCCACTAGTAACTGCAACAAAGGCCTTTGCTGATGGGCCGCCACGTCTGTTGGTGGTTGCGGGTCGCTTTTGTCTGCTTCCAGCATCGGGGGCTCCGTGTGGACCACTTCAGGCTCAGTCGTGAAGCCGCTACCGCTGCCTGAGCCGCTCTCCTCATCACCTGACGTAAAGAAACACAAAGCAAATTGATGAAAAAATGCAGGTTCAGTACAATGAAAAATATAATATACAAAAAAATGTCAACTTCGTGTGTCTGCATAACTGAATGTCAAAAAAAAAAAAAATCAACATTTACATTTAGGACTTCTAGTTTTCACCTTTTTTGGAAACCTTATAAGTTAAAACATGAATGAATGAATGAATGAAAATAATGCTTTATATTTTATGCTTTAAGTGTGAAATTAAAAAAAGTCAAATATTTTAACATATTATATATTATTGTTTCGTATTAGTATGTATTATAGTAATAATTACTATTATTTCAACATTACATTTTACATTATATATGACACTTAATGTGTGATTATGAAAAAAGGATGAATGATTTAAATGATCAATTGCTATTTTTTTATTATTTCATGATTTCTATTTTTTTATATTTCAAAAGTTCAATTACTACACACATTTTATATTTTTTATAAAATAATATATATATATATATATATATATATATAGAGAGAGAGAGAGAGAG